TTTTGACAGCCAAGAAATGCTGGAAGGAATAGAAAGAAATAGAGGAAGAAAAAAACTTAATATAGCTCCTCGAAGGGCCAATGAAGATTCGTCCACCTCTCGTCTTGAGCCTGGCGAAAAGTCGAGGACAGATGCCCCTTCCTCTAAGAAACAGAGAACAGAAACGAGGAAGACAAAGGCATTTGAGATTGATGAGGATGACGTTGTATATGAAGAGGCTATGAAGGTGCTTCCCGCCTACATTGCCTCAGCTGTTGACACAATGAACAAGTCTGTTGGCACTAGGAAGGCTGAGAGGCTGAGAGAAAAGAGTGATGATGATATCCTCAAATCCACTGTCTCCCATTTAATGAAGACGACTGTGCTTATGGTGGAGCACGCTGATCGGATGGTGTACCTAAACAAAGCAAGCCGAAAGACTATGGAAGAGCTAGACGTTGCTCGAGAAGAGATAGCTGATCTTCTCAGGGAGAAGGCGAAGATGAGGGAGGAGTTGGACGCTGCTCAAATAGAGATTGATTCCCATTGTAGAGAGAGTGTGAATGCTTTTCAGAGGGCCCGTCGAGCCCGGCAGGCGAGTATTAGGCTGAAGGCGGAGCTGCAAATGCTGAAGGGACTAGGTGCCAAGGGGGAGAAGCGCAAGGTTTACTCAGTTGCCAAGGAAGCTGAAACATCTAGGGCGTTCAATTCTTTCAAGCAGACGGAGGAGTTCGAGATCATGAAAGATGAATTGTACATGGAAGGGGCGCACGCCCTACTTGATAAAATTAAGGAGGAGCGTCCAAAGTGGGACCTGAGCTTTCTTGAAGAAGATGACTAGTCTTGTAAGCCCATAGAGACCTAGGATTTCTGTAAAGCAAAACGTGTTTTGACCTTCTACGTTGTGTCTTTGAAATGTCACGGAATGAAATCTTTTGTGATGATATTTCTTCGAGACGTCGATTTCTCAGAAAAGGTAAAATTAGAAACAATTCAAGCAATTGCCTGATTTGAATGGTGGAAAGTATTAGGCCCTGTTTAATTGGCCAATCTCTTTCCATGGAAATCAAATTCCATTTTC